ATTAAAAATTATGGAAAAAATTAAAAAATTTGTAAAAAAATAAATTTATCAATAAAATTTAAAAATTTCCAATCTACAAATAGTTACTATAAAAAATTACTTTAAGTAGTTTTTTCAATTTGTTAATAATTTAAATCCTAATCGATATTCATTAATTTCAATCCTAATCGATATTCATTAATTTCAAACTACTAAATTAAAAATTTTATTAAATACTTATTTTATAATAATTTTAAAATAAATAAATTTACCAAATATTTATTTTTAACTATTTAAATAAAAACACTAACATAAGTGACAGCTACCCCAAACATCTATTCTAAAGGCCCCCTAGTTTTGTGATTTGGACCTGGACCAGATTTTTTTTCCATTTTTTCTTTATGTTTTGGCAAAAGAGCCAGAGCTAGATTAGTAACTGGGAATGGATATTAATTTTGGTGAAATGCATTGTTAACCACTCAACTTTTCCCACATTCTCATGTATTCCCCTGAACTATTTAGTAAGCGGATGAACCCTTAAACGACCCCAATGCAATGAATGCAAATTACCCCTTCAGCTAACGCGGCACGACACAAACTTTTGGTCACTGGAGATAAACGTTCGTTTCATTCCGCTTACATGGCCTGCCCTCCCATGTAATTGCTGATGTGGCTTGGCAATTCATTAAGGGCATGTTTGGATTGTAGATGGGCTAGATATTCCTAAATAATAAATATTTTAAATAAGAAAATAATTTAAAATAAATTTTTGTGTATAATTTTTTCATTTAACTTTATAAATTATTTATTAATTAATTCCTTTTATTCTTTTATAATCTTTAATACTATATATATTTACTCATTTAATAAAATATATAAATTATAAATAAATATAGTATGAATAAATTATCTATGTATTATTACCCTTTTAAATATCACATAAAAATTCATAAGTACATTTTACTCATGGGAAAATTATATTTGGCCCATTTTAAAATGTTTCTATAGGCTCATGATCAGAGTAAATTTATTGTCTTTTTTCTTCATTAACTAATACGGAGAATACAAGAACTAACATTAATTTTAATATCAATGTTTTGTAGATAATTAAATAATATGGTTGATAAAATTAAAGTTAATTTCTTTTTACTATAACAATTAATTTATACTCTGTATAAGAAAATAATTAATTAATTAATTAATATAATAATTACTTTTGAAATTGAATCCCTAATTTTGATACCAAATCATAATTTTTAAGTTACTTTAACTATTTTAATATAATATTTATATGTCATTAAATGCGAGAGTAAAAATAATCAATTTATGCACAACATATAAGATTATAAGAAAAAGTTGAATACAAAAATTGTTCATAAAATATTTCCCCATATAAAATATTTACCTTCTTTGTTCAATTTTAATAGGCTTTAGATTTTTTTCAATAAAATAACAATATAATTATTAATTTATAAAATTTCATATTTATCTCTAATTAAATAAATTTTTTATTTATAAATATGTTGTAATCATCTTTTTTTAAATATAAGTAAAATAGGAATAAATATATTAAATGAAATTTTCAAAAAGAAAAATAAAAAATTAAATTTAAATGCTTCAATTTGAAATTTAGGTGTAATAAAATTGAATAGAAGGAGTATGATAGGTAGTGATATAAAAATAATATTTTTGTATACCCTTCTTATACAATTTCAATATGTTATTAAATGAGTAAATACATTTAATATTATAGATCTCAAATGAGTAAAAAACTATTCATTTAAGAACGGTGATATAGGAACAACATTTTTGTATTATTTTTTTATACAACTTCCATAGTTATTAAATGAGTAGATGTGTGATACCCCAAAAATTTCTAGGATAAATAAGTGAGTTAGGGACTAATTTGTGAGGAAATATTATTAGTGCACCTAATGGCAATTTGTGTTAAATTCAAGGGGCTTAAAAGGGGAAAGAAATTGGATAAGGATCGGGTGATTTTTTTCTTCCTTCTTTCTCTCTTCAGCCGCGTGTTTCTCTTCTTCTTCTTCTCCCCTGCACCGAACAAGAGCCCCAGCCACCACCGACGCCCCCACTTGAGAGAAACCGGTAAGAGCTTGAAGTTTTCCCCTTTCTTTTCTTGTTCTAGGACTGAAAATTGAACCCAGAAATCTCTCCCCCTCTGTAGAATTTCCAGATCTGTTCTGCTCTGCGTCTTCCTCCCTTGCTGTCCGCGAATTTCTGCTGGGTGTGCATCCTTCGACTTTTTTCTGGTAAGCCACAGCCAAGAAATCATCTCACTAGCCTTGATTTAACTTGGGTTACTTTAATTTTTGGTTGTGGTTCTTGAATTTTTGGTAGATTTCCCAAAATTCCCCTGCACTTCCCGCCGGCCTCACCCAACCTCCAGCTTCGGTTCTTGCTGGAAAAATTGTGGTATGTGGCAGCTTCTCTAAGTCCAAATTTTACATATTTAATTGCTGAAATTTAGCCATTTAATTGCTGCCCTGTGTGTCTGAATTTTCAGCTGGAAATAAGGGAGAAATTTGACAATAATTAGACCATGATTTAGCTTAATTCATGTATAAATCGCTTGAGTTGGTTGCTGTAATTTTTGGAAGAAAATCCAGTGTGTTTAGCCCCTGTTTTTTTGCCAAAGCCGTGCTCCTCCCTTTTTGTCGTGAGAATTGGAGAATTTTGTATGGGTGATTTTGCATATATATAACCCGATTGTAGTGTTCAATTTTGGAGAAAAAAATAAATAAATCTCGTGACTTCTTGTGTTGCCAAGCCCTGTTTTTCCCATTTGTTTGTCCGGGAGTCAACTTGGGAAAAAAATTGGAATTTGAAATAAAAGCCTTGTTCCCCATTGTTTTATCCGTGAGATTGGGAAACCATTTATATATGTATTTGTGTATATAAATATATATACACAATCCGGTCAACGAAATTGCTTATAGAATTAATTCTTGAATATTTGGTTAGGTTCTTGATCCTTGGGGCACTTTAGTGCGTGGCTTGAGTCTCCGGTATTACATGATTGAGGTAAGTAAATTATGGTAAGGCCCTTCGATTTTAAAAGTGTATTTTAACTTGTTTTTGAAGTGGTGGCAAGACTAAACGCGTTTTACACAAGTATGATTGATTTGAAATGAAATTATTATTCTTTTTATTGATTTGAGCATGCCTGCTTGGAGTTTATTTAACTGCCCTGATGATCTGGAAATTATCTGTAAAGTATGATTTTCTGTTAACTTCTGCCTATTTTGTTTCCGATATGGTCATGTTATTCATGTGCCCGCTAGTGGGAGGTTTATAAACGCTAGCACATGTCGACATGTTACTGATAGAACCGGTTCATTTCTGTTATCCTGCTAGTGGGATTATACACTAGTAAATCGTGTGCCTGCCAGTGGGAGGTTTATAACACTGGCCATGACCTATAAAGGAGACGTCTATTTCATTCCCGTACTGTATCCATTTTTCTGATTATACTGGTTGGCATGCTATAAGTTTAATAAGAGGCACTCCATATTTACTTACTGAGTTTATCTCATAGTTTTTCTTTGTCCACCATTTCAGGAATCGAAACCAAGGACGGGGAAACTACAGGAAGTGACGAGTTAGAAGGCTAGCCATTTCGAGATTGATATAGATTTTAGAAATAAATCATGCTTTTGTAGGATAGATTTTACCTTAATTTATGAGATCAAAATAGATTTCGGTCATTAGATCAATTATTTGGATTTAAGTCATTTTGGATATAGAAATAAATTGAAATATTTGATTTAAGTTACTGGATTGTCAGATGTGAATTGGATAAGTTATGAGCCTTGTGCATTTGTGAGATTCTCTCACGAGTGCACGGCATCTGTCACACTTCGGATTTGGGTTCTGGGTCGTGACAAGATGCATTCAATACCATGGATTTTAAATAAATAAAAAGAGTTAATTATTTAAATGACATGTAAGATTATAAAATAATAATACAAAAAAATTGTTTCGAAATTATTTTCCTATTATTTATCAAATTATCAAGCCAATTATTGAATTGCCAAGCCACATAAGCAATTAGAGGTAAGAGCAGGCAATTAAAGTTTGTGCCGCCTTTAGCAAAGGGTGTAATTTGCATTCATTGGGGGTGGTTTTAAGGGTTCATATGCTTAGAAAATAGTTTAAGGGCATACATGAGAATATGGGGAATGTTCAGGCGGCTTAACAATGAGTTTTGGTATTTTTATATGAGATGGGTTTCTGACCTGGGGGTGAGCACGTGGACTTGAATTGATAATGTCTTGTCCCTACTTTTCTGTCATTCGCATTTTATTTCCTTACAAATAAGTCCTGAAACACAAAAGATGAAGAAAATTAAAATAAGTTCATCTAAAACATTTTATCAATTTCTTCTTCTGTTTTTCGACCTCTATGATTTTTTCTTAATAATTTTAAAATTTTTATTAAGTTCTAAAACTGCACAACTCCCAGGTTGTTTATATATATATATATATATATTTTTATAATTACTAAATAGAATAACATCAATTTATAATTAAAATAAATTTTTAATTAGTAAATAAATATTAATTAATACATTTTTTAATTCAATATATTAGACAATATACTATAAATTTTGTATTTTCTTTTAAGAATTAGTATCCAAAACCTGTGTCAAACACATCTTATTTAATGATAACAACAGAAAAGATCTTCCATAGTTCACTTATTCATAACTTCACCATAAATGAAGAAGACTACTGCACATTACAAACAGACTGCCCTTTGCTGACAACAATCTTTAACGACGAATACGAATATGATTGTATAAATCATGTAAACCAGCCAAAAATGTGGATAGTTAGTATACAGTAGTCTATATCGATGGACAAATATACTTGTTAGTCTAAAGTGGGTTTCTATAGATTGTTTGCTAATTATCTATTTAATATAGAGTACATATCACTACTAGAAAAATGATGTATACGGACCGACCATATACGGACCGAATATTGTCGGTCTGAAAAAATAAATATTCGAACAAATATCGGTCTGAATATAGTCAGGGGGAGAAAATATACTTAATGAACATATTCGGACCGGTATCGGTCCCTATATTTATGGTGGGATCCACAGTGTAGGCGCGCCAATAATATTCGGACCGTTTTCGGTCCGAATAGTATTTTTGAAAAAAAATAAATATTAAATACCAAAAAATATGAATAAAATATTATTTAAATAAATATATACGGACCGGCTTCGGTCTGTATATATCCATTAGAGAATACAAAATTTCATTTTTATATTCGGATCGGTTTCGGTCCGTATATTTATTATTTTTCGTGAAAAATAAAGATTAAATAACAAAAATTAGGAATTAATTATTATTTTTAATGAAAATATACGGACCGAGATCGGTCTGTATAAGGGAATCTCTGAATTGATTGGACGCTGGGTCCCACTGACATTTTTTCGGATCGGGATCGATCTGGATAATGCTGTACACAGCCTTCTTCCCTTCGTTTCGCCCGTCCCCCTCATTCTGCGATTTCTCCACAATTTTCCTCTGTTTTTTCTGTCTTTTTTCTTCCTCTCCACTGCAAGCTTCTCCTCCAATCTCTGGCCAACCACCACCAAGGTAAATAACTCTTTTCAGCTGGTTTTTGGCTGTCGATCTTGCTGGTGTTTTTTTTTTTTTTTTTTTTGCAGCCTTACAAATTTGTTTTTGCTCCATAGTCTAACCATAATTTTTTTTTGCAGATCTGTTGTGTTTATCAATTGATCTAGGCTTGATCTGGGCATTTGTAAGTTTTTTGGTTTCTAATCTACCTATAGGTGAGTTTTTCGAATTTTTTTCTTTTTTTTTTCAAATTTTTTTAATTATTATGTATTTTTTTATTAAAATTTGAAAATAAAATTTGTATTTAATTGTTGAAATGATAGAATGTTGTTAAATT